CGCAGCTGTTGTGTGTTCAAGTTCGTATGTATTTCGAGATGTGTTATTTGCCACGTTTAGCAGTAATACAAGGCCGCCAGCAGAGAAACCTGTAAGGCAAACAAAACAGATAACACTGCCAGCACAGCAAATCAATTGTGCAGCACCTCTTCTTCAACACTGAACACTCATGCTGTTTTTCCATTAATTCTCATAAAAGGAGAACTGCACTGCCTAATTCAGGGGGACCAAACTGGGTCCATCCCAGGCCAGAACAGAGCAGAGATTAACGTTTTCCCTCTCTTAACACTTTGCCTCGACTTGTAAAGACCTTCCAAATTAGTTAATGAATCAGGTATGTTTAACGAGGCAGGATGCTAAACTCTGCAGAGTTGTGCAGAACCAACCCAGTTTGACAAACCTGGCCTATCTATTCTCACCTATTATCCTGACCTCCTCAACCAATTTTTGCCAGTTTTCATTCTCTGAACCTCATTCTCTTTATTGTTCACCTGTCTATCTATTTTCTCAATTTTCTCCTCAGCTGCCTCTCTCGCATCATATCCTTCAATGTCCTTAAGCCTATTTTCAAGATCCATCTCAAAGATGGATGTCTGAAAGGAAAAAGGAAATTCCAACATATGTGCTATTCCTTAGTCAAATTAAAACAATCTATGGCCTTCCCACATACCTTTTTGACTAAGACCATTGTTGTTATTCTTATTCTGATCTGTTATGCATTTCCAGACCGTCAAAAAGGCGGAATCTCTCGGATGATCCGAGCATTGTCTGCCCTCAAGTAATGAATAGTTGATCTAATAGCAGAATAGCAAATACAGAAAACACAATCTTATTTAAGACTTAAAGTTCCTCCACTCTCTCTTTTGTGCATTTCTTGGCAACTGCCCGAGCATCCATTATCTTTTTGCTTACATCTCCTGTGGCTCCTCAAGACGTGCCTGGGAAGCAGAAAGTTATTCTTTGCTAACATTATAGCAGAAGCAGAGAAGCATACCTGTGCAGAGAAGCAAAGAAGCATACCTGTTCATGAACCCCATGGCTGAGGAGCTTCTTGCCGTGGTCACTTAGACTAGCGGTGGCTGGCAGACAAGTCTTGGTATACCACCTGCATGTTGGTCTTGTACGTTTTTTATCATCATTCCTAAGTGTTACAGTCCTCAGACTTGGGCCATCGTTAGAAGTTAAAGCAAATTCGGCCATCTTCATGAGTCTTCTTTTGCTGGCACTGAAGACTTTTTCTTTACACATCATGTCAGTACCTTGTCTTGACGGTCTTTCCTTTTTTCTTTGGTCAGCTTAACCCAATGGGTAGCTGTTTGAGCAGCAATTCTAGACCTGGCTATATCCACTCTATAAGTGTCATTCCTAGAAGGCTTTCCATGGTCTCCTAGGCACACACAAGGGGTAGATTTTTCCCTGTAAACCGGTACAATTTTAAGAATAGTAGAAAAGACTTTGTATTTGGCTGTTCCACTTCAGGGCAGCCAGGCAGATGGGTATGGGAGGGTCTGTGAAAAATCACTGCACAGTCAGCCTTCTCATTACAAAGAAAGGAAGAAATTACTACCACATGCAGTTTTTATTTGAGCCAGATAAATCATATCCAGTCACTGTTCTCTTACTAACTAATGAAACATTCAGCAGACTTAAAAGTATCGCTTTCAAACAGACTGCCCAGAACTGACTGTAGAGCTTTTGACATAAGTTGTTTTACTTGCATGTTGCTACTTTTCTTTGACAGCAATGAAATGCAGATGTCTGAAGCTCTGACGTGTCTATTCTTGCTCTCTATTCTGTGCAGAGTAATTATAATTATCTCTTAAGTACTTATTTGAATTTATGTACAGTAAAATACTGCAAAACTCATTTTGTCACAATATCAATATGATGTCAAACATGAAAATACTCACATAAACTGCTGTGAAATAATAAGGACTGACATAACTCATAACTGACAATAACTCATCATATATCAGCAAGCTAAAATGACAATACAAAGTCTTGCATACATCTAGGTTCTGGACAGTTTCAAAATTTAACAAATTTCCCCTCACCAAAACATACCGGCAGTTGCATTCCTTCAAGGCAAAATGAAGAAACATTAAGGATAATTTCAGCATAATAAACCTATAATGCTACCACAGCAGAGATCTAAAAGACTGCTGTAATATCATACCTATCTACCGTCCACAGAGATAGAACTGTGGCCATGGGATGTACTTGTTGTAGCCTTCGACACAGAAGAGCAGTTTTTTTTTTAAAGAAATTAGGGGTGATTACATGATCATGACAAACATGAAATGAGAACCAAGATATATGAACAGAATGTTATGTAATTACTTCCATAATTCAACACTCATTTTTATTGTTTTATTTTTGATATTTCCCACCTAATTTTCATGTGACAAACTCAATAGACTTTTTGTGCACAACCTCTGATAAACTGACCAAGATGCAGCATTGTTCTTTACACTTCTATAACCATTTGCCTACCTTGAATGACACTGCGGATGTCATTACTTCAAAAAGTATACTTCTACAGGTATTTTTTGTAATTAATGGAATATGAAGTATTCTTTTAGAGACCTGTGCCACAAGTCAGTCTGTAAAATGTCTGCCCTGGTCAACTGTACATGCTGTTATTGTGAAATGGAAGTGTTATTGCTAGAAGCAATGCAAACTCAGAGCCGAGTGCTGTAACACATAAAAATAGCCTATCCTCTGTTGCATCCCTCCCTACAGAGTTCTAAACTGCATCTGGAAGCAACATCAGCACAAGAACTGGGCATCAGGAACTTCATGAAATGGGTTTTCATCTCTGAGCAGCTGCACATAAGCCTAAGCTCACTATGTGCAATGCCAAGTGTCAGCTTGAGTGGTGTAAAGCATGCTGCCACTGGACTCCGGAGCAGAGAAAATGTATTTTCTAGAATGATGGAATCACGCTTTACTGATAGATGAATCTGGTTTTGGCAGATGCCAGGAGAATGCTACCTTCAAGAATCCATTGTACCAACGTTAGTGTGGTGGAGGAAGGATAATGGTCTAGGGCTATTTTTGCAGGGATTGGGCCCTGTCCCTTAGTTCCAGTGATGGGTTGTGTTAATGCTACAGCATACAAAGACGTTTTAGAGAATTGCTCATGTCCATCTTTGTACCAAGTTTGGGGAAGGCCCTTTCCTGTTCAGTCATGACTATGCCCCTGTGCACAAAGCAAGATCCATAAAAACACGGTTTGACAAGGATCTCCAGTGGCCTGCACAGAGCCCTAACTTCAACCCTACTGAACATGTTTGGGATTAACTGTATACTTCAAAATCTTGTGGAAAGATTTCCCAGAAGAGTTGAGGCTGTTATAACCACAAACGGAAGGCCAACTTTATATTATGCCTATGATTTTGGAATGGGATGTCCAGCAGGCTCATACAGAGGTGCTCAGTGGTCAGGTGTCCACATACTTTTGGACATATAGTGTATTTACAGAATAAAGACTTAATAAATGAAGAATATGGCACCAATCATGGCATATAAAAGTGGATCTTCCACTCAACAGTTAAGCAAAAAAAAAAATGTAAGACTGGACAGAGCAATACACCTACACCTCCTCAGGGAAAATGGTTTAATCACTCTCATCTTGATGTAATATTTAAATTGAAGCAATAACTATATTTAGCTTGAACTGACAGCTTTAATGTAATTTAAAGCATGTAAGGAGCTGAAATTCAATTTCAAATGTGCAAAACAAATTGCTCAAGAAAACAATACACAAAGATGTATTTAAAGGCTCACAGTTTTTCTATCTGTGGAAAACTGTCTTTTTTGCATTGCATCCATAAAGGACATAAAAATTTGAAGAGGACAGAAAAAAATGCCAAAGCACCTCCCCACCAAAACCTTTAGCATGAATGACAACTGCATTGTTTTAGTGCTGTAGGTCCAGGGTTTACAGTGCTTAACAAATCTGGCGGCACATTTAATCAAAAACAATGTTGGCCAGGTCTTGTACAGCTTAAATCTCTAAGCTCAAAATATTTTAGAACACAGAAATCTGAATTCTAAAACAAGCCCTAAATCTTATATTCAGTGCCGAGAAATCCTTTTCACTTTAGCATTTTGTCTAAAATGAAATCTTTCCTCAGTGAAATGTGTCTAAATGGAATAACAAAAACTGAGATCTCAGCTGTATTTATCTGCCTGGCAAGGGAGCTCAAGACTACTGTCAACTACAAAGGACCTAAAGATTCAGTCAGCTCCAGCCTAACACAGCTCATTAAGCAATCAAACCACTCAGAAGATTAACTAAGGATTAGAACAAAGAAAATGCTGAACTACAGAGTACTACAGCACACGAGGACCAATGGTTTAGACCAATTATGTGCAGAGATCCAAGATCACATCAGGAAAACCCTTACAAATTAAGCCATTACTTAACATCTCCAGTTACGTTACAACAGCACATAAAAGGCAATTGCATAATACTGCACAGTTTCAATTACTCCTTGCCTCCGTGCACTTGATACAACTCAACTCACAAATGGCTCTATAATCATGAATCATGGAATAGTTGAAACTATGCAATACTGTGGGTCACAAGGAGCACAATTAAACACTGCTCTGCGACAAACAGCGTAATACCATTTTAACCAAAAAGACTGATGATCTTCCTGCTCGTAAATAAAACAGCATGAACTATGCTTGGCTAGGCAGAGATTGCAAGAACAAGGAAATGTCACATGCAACCTACAGCCCTTGTCTGGCACGGAAGCATCTTCATTCTGTAGAAAGGCCTTTCAATGGCAGGGGCTAGGGTTAGGATAAGAGTAAATGGTTTGGTCTCAAGTCTCAAATAAGTATGTCCAATAGCTTTCCTTTCCTTTTTCCCCCCCCTCAGCCAAACATATCAGCAGAGGAAGCATGCTGTAGCAGTAAGATTTTTGTCCCCAAAGTTGAAAGCACTGTGAAGCCTTGTTCCCACAGCCAGACCAATCTACAGCAGCTCCTCAGTCAACTTCAGCCATGTATGCATCCAGCTGTGCATCCAGGTGACTCTTGGTCATAGACATGTAGTCATCCAACTGCTCATCCAGCTGCTCTCGAGTGGGGACAGGGCGATTCTCTGCTCTGTATCTTCCTCCACCCCAGCCACGACCTACAAACGCCCCACGCCCTCCTGTGGCCAGACCTTTACATGCAGAGGGAGAGCGGGGGCTTTGCACTCATACATACAAAAAGCTCATGTTAATTCAAGTATTAGCGAGACAGAAAGACACAATGATTACAAAACTGAAGCAAGATGAAATCTGAATGTCAGGTGGCATGGCATCTTTGGGACAGTTGTGATGTGCCGGAAACTTTTAAAGACTACACTAAAACTGATTATAAATGAAATCTGAACTTGACCAGATTTACTCAGATGTTACAGTGGATGCACAGAAAGTTCATACAAATCACCTTCACCCTCATACATTCATGCAGCAATGCACTGCAAGCTCATTTGTCCCCTTGGTTAGCTGTTTTTAAAGGGACAAAATGTTAATTCAGTTCAATTTTTTACAAAAGAAGCAGTCAAAAATCAGTTTTACAGAATCTGCGCCCAGACCCTGTGAACAAGTTGTAAGCAGAAAAAAATAACTCAAGAGCCTGAGGAAAACACACTGAGAGGAGCCAAGACTCAAAAGAGGAATCCATCCTCCTCTAGACTGCAGGGATAACAAAATTAACATACAGTACAAACCTATGAGTGAGATTCACTCGGATCAAACAGAAAAAAAAATATCTGAGGTTAAGTAGTGATGGACTTTTAACATTCGCCAAAATATCAAAAAATGACAGAAAATGGTCTGGTGGGCTATTGAATGTGCTAGACACATATAGTGTTTTAGCTGAGCACGAGAACATGGTAAGTAAGGACTTCAATATGAGAGTGATGCTAAAAAAAAGATTAAGGCTGCATGATTCAACATTAATAAGATGTTCTGGGCTGAAAAGAGATTTTCCCTTAAAAATGAGGCACAGAAGATGTGTGTTGTAGTGTCAGTAATGAATCTCTTACCATTGCCTCTCAGACATCCTCTTACACCTCTGTTCTGCATCACTCCTGGTCTGCTTATATGAGCTCCACGCTGCTGGTGAGTCAGGCCTTCATGTGTCACTAAACCAGAGACTACGCCTTGCAATCCTTTCATGCCTGCAGATAAAGAATGTCCATGACAAACCAAGACCTCTAATTTGAGATCTTTAGATATGTTTACTGAAATTTCAAAACCTAATTCATCATCTATACCACCTATAAATCAAAACACTCAGAAAATGGCAGCAGATGACACTAGAATAGCAATATACTTGATCTGTGGTGTCTGGTTATTTGACAAAAATGACAGTTCACATGAACCAAGTTTGTACCATCATAAAAGTAACCTGTACTTGGAAAAGAAATGGGGCAAAAGATGTCTAGAAGATGATTCTATGACAATTTCTCAAACCCATTCACACTACACATGCACACAATTAGAGGCAGGCATTAGCAAGCACATCCAACACACACACAAACACTTACTTCATATTAAAATTCACACTCCAAAAATCCAAAACTGTGTCAACTGAAGAAATATACAAAAATAAACATGCAGAAAGTTCCACTCACATCTCATTGATAATGTTCCCCTGAACAATGCTCCTCTTCCTTTTGGCCTGCCCCAGTGCCTCGCCATCCCCCACAACCCTCCCCTCATCAAGGGTCTATTTAGCCTTGCCTTAATGCTCCGCTTACCAAGACGCTGCTTCATACTCTGTGTGGTGAAGGGAAAAAATGATGCATGTATCAACTCCATACCCGAGTAAGACATGGAGTAGAAAACACAAAGATCAAAGCAATAAGCAAAACATGGTGGTAAGCCCTGGAGCTACATGAAGTCCTTCTGGAAGAAACTGCTGTATCATGTAACACTGACTGTAGGCAAAAGATCACACTGTCTACTGAATACTCACAGATTACACAACATACAGCACTGATACCCTTTTATCCGGTTTATCCGGTCAGGACCCCCATGGACACTTACAGAGCAGGTACTATTTGGGTGGTGGATCATTCTCAGCACTGCAGTAACACTGACGTGGTGGTGGCGTGTTAATGTGTGTTGTGCTGGTACAAGTGGATCAGACACAGCAGTGCTGCTGGAGTTTTTAAACACTGTCCACTCACTGTCCACTCTATTAGACACTCCTACCTTGTCAGTCCACCTCGTAGATGTAAACTCAGAGACGATAGCTCGTCTGCTGCTGCACAGTTTGTGTTGGTCATCCTCTAGTCCTTCATCTTTGGTCACAGGACGCTGCCCACAGGATGCTGTTGGCTGGATATTTTTGGTGGGTGGACTGTTCTCAGTCCAGCAGTGACACTGATGTGTTTAAAAACTCCAGCAGCACTGCTGTGTCTGATCCACTCAGACCAGCACAACACACACTAACACACCACCACCACATCAGTGTTACTGCAGTGCTGAGATCCACCACCCAAATAGGACCTGCTTTGCGAGGGTCCATGGGGGTCCAGACCACTGAAGAACTGGGTAAAAGGGGGGCTAACAACGTATGAAGAGAAACAGATGGACTACAGTCTGTAATTGTACAACTACAAAGTGCACCTATATAGTAAGTGGAGCTGATAAAATGAACAATGAGAGTAGAAACAAGGAGGTGGTCATAATGTTATGCCTGATCGGTGTATTTGTGCATTTAAAACACATATAAAATGCATGAGCATGAAAATAACTCTAAACATACTGTGGAACTGCTGCAAGCCACGTAGTTAGGCATCACACAATTCAGAACACACAATTAGGAACTAAATCACACAACCTGGCAACCAAGGACCGTGTCTCATCCTGCATAACTGCTCTGACAGCATTTTTAACACTGTACTAAGCAAAATAAGTACATCAAGTGCATTAACATAAGCACGTTATGTGTTTTGATAAGTCAGGAAACACACCTATGTTGAAGTAACTGCTTTCAGAGTCACCATTTGGGTGCCATGAGCAACATCCTACTCAGCCCTATCATATTCTTTTGTATACAAGAACAGAAAAATCTTAGGCCTCACTGCACTTTTTCTATAAACTGCTTATACCGGTTATAGCAAGAAATGGCCCCGACTGCTTTCGTATCATACCATCTCTCGTTTACATGAGTGACCCCATTATTTGGTTGTTACCTGCTCCCTCTCATTTAGAAGAGAACATTCAGTTTTGTTGTACAAAAAGTGAAATTCACCGGTATTTTCTGCAGGGCAGCCAATACTGAAGGCCAGTTGGCCATCTGCTGAGCCAGCCGTTGGTTCTTCAGTGAAGCTGTCTGTTGCTGCATGTTGGCTCCGATGTCACTCAGCTCTGGCTGGTTATTCTTCAGCAAGCTGGTGAAGCTAAAAATGGGAGAAAGAGAAAGATGAACAGCAGTTAACAGTCCACGTGTATATATATTTATTAGCCTATTTGTACTGAACTTTTGTGTTTTTCTATGCAAACATTTCAGACTGACCGGTCATGTAAAGACATCGAAGATGTGCTTTTCAGATAGAGCTGTGAGGATGGAGAATTCATTTTCAACACCCGACACTGTAACGGACAGAAACAAACGGAACATATACAGCAGGTTATATTAGTTATAAATGTGAGGACCTGAAGTTCCCATCCAGATGACATCGCAGTGTATCAACAGCTGCTATAAAGCCAGGTTAGCAAGTGAACAAATTAACGTAAATCGGTACGTTAGCGTTCTATTTGTTCTGCAACTAACGTAACGTTAGCTTTACTGTACGTTACGCATCACGGCGGTTAACGCGGACAGCGCCTGTAACAACACGAACAAAGCAAAAAGAAAGAAAACAGTCTAACGTTAATACTACATAACAGTTTTATCCCACTAAGGTCACTGAAAAAGACAAAAAAATAAAAAATCTGAAAACCTTAAGGCCACTACAATCGTTAAACACGGAACACATTTTGTAACGTTAGCTAACGGCTAGCTAACGTTAGCTAGCTAGTTAGTTAAATCTGGGCTGATGAAAGTAAAAATAATACTTTTATTACTCAAAGGGTTGGCGTTACTTATTTTGCTTTATCAATTCGGCTGCGTTAAGCAAAAAACCAGATACCGTTTAAACGTGATTTGAATGCGAAACACCACTCTACAGCGGTGGCCGCCATTTTCACATCGATAATACCAGCTAGCGAGAACTAACGCTGCACGGAGCTCAAATTGGCATCCCACTCTCCAGCTTCTTGTTCTAATTTTTCCGTTCCACCTTAAATGGTGCAGCAGTTACATTCAGGCGCCTGAGTGGAACTACTGGACCACTTAAGGTGGAACGAGAAAATTCGGACTAGAAGCTGGAGTGGGACTCTCAACTTCAGCCTCGTTAACGCTTCAAACCCCAACTCAGCTAGTTAGCTAACCTAGCTAACATAACGTATGTTAACGAGGGGTGCGGTTCAGGGACCTCAGCTTGGTACCTAGCAAACTGTTTTCTTACCACATATAGCTACCAAAACACAGCCAGTATGTTTATATTATTATGTCACTAAATGAACACATCCACAACTGTAACGTGAGTACATGCGGCAAATGGCGACAAACAGTGAATGGCTAAAGCTCCGACAAGTGAGAAAATGGATCAAGGAAAACTTTTCTCGTTATGAATCCCGGACGCGTAATTTCACTCAAAGCGCCATTCAGTATCTTAAATGTAAGAATAAATGTGAATCCAGTTTATAACTGAAGCAGCGCAGATTTCTTCACTCACACGTTAACGTTTTTATTAGATCAGCGCAACTCAAATGAACCTTCAATCGAATTCACGCCTCTCCTCTTCTTGGCCTCTGCGAGTCACTCTAACTGAAAATTAGCATTTCAGCTTCAGACCATCTCTAAGTCGCCACCTGGCGGCCTCAGAGCGCAAACAATCAGCGACGGTCTTTACTCATGTGCTCATTATTATTAAACAGATTGTTTCGGTTATGAAATCTGATTGGCTCAGCCGCGTCCGGAGCCGTCGCGTCAGAAATTGAATTATGTATTAATGCGCCAAACTGTTAAAAACACTGCGCTGGTCATGGAAAAATCTAGGCTACAGATTTTTTTGTAAGACTATTAACTAAGATATTATTACATATAAAATAGAATTAGAAATAGAATTTCATGCAATAAGCCCTTTACTGGTTCACAGCTGTAGATGTAGTTCTGATAAAAAGGTACTCTGTGGAAAAACTCTTAATATCTGAAATGAACTGATTTCAGTCAGTCCAAAAGAAGGCAGGTAGTGTGAGCGGCGAGAGAACTGAACTGAAATGAAAAAGTTCGTTTGAGGCGACGCTATCAGTACTAATGACAGTTCAACCATCCTGTCTGCAGACCAGCAGGCGTTGAAAGTCGCGTCATCGTTGGCCGTGAGTTCGTGTCTGTATGAGAGGACGATGGTGATTGGCTGGATTCTCGAAAAACCCCGCCCATCCCCCCCTCACCCACCTCTCTGTTACAGAACGTAACGTCTGGGAGCAGCAGGATGTGCGAATGAGAGAGAGTGAGACAGATAAAACAGACAGAGGCAGACAGGCATACACAAGTTCAGTCCAGAGGAGACCACAGCGTTTACACATGTGACAGAGTAAAGCTGTAAGTGCACTTTTTAATTCATTACATTCTGTTCTCTAACTGCCTGTTCCTACATGAGGCGCGTACGGTGTTTATTAAGGAGCATTTGATCAAGAACGTTAGACAGTAAAAGTTTCTAGTTGTAAGAAATAACAGTTCAGATGATCAGTAACAGCTCAGGTGATGTGTTTGTGGCTTGAATGTGAATAAGAACAAGGTACTTACTGTTTAAAACTTTATGTAGTATTGAGCATGGTTGAGTTGGAATGCTGGAATTACTTGGAATTACTGGAATGCTATAATTGATTATTCATGATACACATCCAGCAATGGTTATGAAAAAGATGGTAATCCATGATAAAATACTAATGCTAAGTAGTAATCTACTAGTCTTCATCTTGTCTTATGTCTTTTCCTAAGTAGACCTCTCTTGTTCAAATGATCGTTCCTTTGAAAACTCATCTCCTCTTGCCAGTGTTAGAGGACCTGCCAAAGTTCAGCATGAGAAATATGATAGAAAATAATATTCCACTCTGTCTTTGTGATGTGGCCTTGCTTTGCGTTTTCTGGGGCACCCTCATCAGTATTTGGATAGATAGATAGATTAGATAGATAGATAGACAGACACACACACACACACACACACACATACAGATAGAAAACTTTATTGGTCCCAAGATAAATTGTTACAGCAAAAAGCACTGTGCATACATATTTCAGGAAAAACTATTTAAAAACTATGCCCAGCAATGGACTGGTGACCTGTCCAGGGTGTATCCTGCCTTCCACCCACGACCCATAAGGATAAGCGGCTTAGAAGATGTGTGTGTGTGTGTGTGTGTGTGTGTGTATGTGTGTGTGTGTGTGTGTGTGTGTGTGTGTGTGTGTGTGTGTAATTAAAAACTAAAGAATTGCACTTGACTTAAACAACACTGTGAGTGTTCCAACTGCGGTTGAATGCAGGTGAAAATGTTCATAAGATATAATAAGGTAGTCTTTAATGACAATTCTCCTGATCTAGGGCTCAAGGATGTCTGTCAGCTCCCCGAGTAGCAGTGACGCATGTTTGAGCATCGTTCACAGCCTCATGTGCCACCGGCAGGGTGGGGAGAATGAGGGCTTTGCCAAGCGTGCCATCGAGAGTCTGGTGAAGAAGCTGAAGGAGAAAAAAGACGAGCTAGACTCCCTCATAACTGCCATTACCACCAACGGAGTCCACCCCAGCAAGTGTGTGACCATCCAGAGAACGCTGGACGGCCGGCTGCAGGTCTGAGCTTAAACAGCAATGAAATTAAACTTTACCGGTCAACTAATAGCCCATAAAAGAAATCACCACATATCGATGCTGTCTTATAAAAACCTCGTAATTCCATTTTACACCATTTGAAAATGTCAGTTGGCCTGTACATTATGTCAACATTTCATGGCCAGTGGCCCAATAGAAATTGTCCAAAATTACATGGAATAAAATCTTGTTAGCTTCTCAGAAGAAGGTTTTCCTTCTGTAAGGTTACAAGGTTTTGTTGCCACAGTGACAATATGCTTTCACAAGAGCTGATTACACATTGTTAAACGCTGTTTATCGTATGCATGCAACTCTCTGAAACACCACAGTGCAATTCTAAATTCACACAATAGCAGATTCCTCTTTGATCCAGTCCAGTGCTGGCAGTCAGAACATTGTGAAACACCACTGAAGTCCAATGTTGTAATCCTCTGTGGTGTGACTGATAGGCTATTTTGCTCCTCTTCCTCTGTGTAGGCAGTGCTCAGTCTGACTGACAGTGCAATTGATTATAGACTTACTCTCTTACTTACTCTCGGCTGGTTGTAACCATTATATATAAGTTTAAATGTAAACAGGTTGTAAATATAAATGTTTAGAGTTCAACTTCATATATTAAACTAAAGTGAGTTGCAGCCTACACCTGCTTTGGGGTTGCTGGACCTATTTAGTGGCTATTGAGCAAAAAAAAAGGTAGTTTTTATGGTGTAACCTGTCTCATTAGAGTAATGTGTAAAGCTTAACATGGTAAAAAAGTTAAAGGAGTTTTTTTTTCTGCACAATTCAAGTGTTGAGATGTAAACAAAGTAATTCATTTTGATGTGAAATGGTGTATTGTAGAGAAAATTATGGACCCAGAGTTGCTTACAGTGATGGTGATAGGAACCAGAGGTTGCAGTGTCTACAACACAAATATATACAAACATAATTAGTATCCAAAATGACCGGTGAACCTACATATGTCTTCTAAATTTTCATGTGTAATGTTGATAATGATGAAATAGTGGTAAATCTGAAAAAATAAGTTTCCTTTGGGTACTACTTTGCTATTTAACAGCCTACCTGTCTCTATCTGCCATGAATGGATTTAAAAAAATACATTTAAGGCCAAAATCTTATCTCAAAGCTATTGTAAAACAATGTCAAAATATTCATCACCATTTAATGGAAAAAACTTTTTGTGAGATGGCTTTTAGAAGCATTATCACCCCCATGGGAACAATTCTGACTCAGAAAGCTTTTTCTTGAACTGAGTATTTCAAGTCAAACCACTTTGAATGGCTTTGTTTACATCTTAACCATTTATTTCTGTCGAAAATTTGAAATAATCAGTGGAATTCCCCTTTAAAATGTTGTAACTCGCCTACAGTTGAACTTTAATAGCAGTGGCAGAACCAGTTACTGAACTTAATGACACTCTTGAAGATTCACATGTTGCTGTAGTGTGTTGCTTTGGCAGTTTTGTCACGATCATCCTAAGACAAAAACTCTCATGTACTGAAGTAGTGAAAAGCAAAAACACCACTTGTATTCAGAATGGCTTCTGTCACCCAGTTTAGGACTTCATTGTGGTGATGTGAATATGGTTGTTCTGTACTTTTTGGCTGATGAATATAGAAAGAAGAACGCACTACAGAAAAGAGGCTCAAAGTTCCTCTCCCCTCCCCCAGTTGCAGACAGTGCGAGGGAATGAGAAAGAGAGAGAGAGTGGGAGAGAGAGAGAGGGAGAAGGAGGGGTGAGGGAGAGAGAGGGTTGTTTTGTCTGAGACACAGGAAAGGGGCAGGGTTAAGTTAAAGCCTGTCTGTCTCTGAGTCTGTGTGTGCGTGCGTATGTGTGCGTGTGTCTGTCTGAGAGGGTCAGTATTTGAAGTATGCGTACACAATCTACACATGCTTTAAGCGTGTGTTCACTGTAGTTCTGCACTCAGTGTTTATCCAAGATCTGTTTGTCCAGTTCTAAAATTGCATTTCCAAGGTGGCTATATGCCACAAAATGTACCACTTTGCCTTGGAAGTCTGTTAATTATGAAATGTTTGTGTGTGTGTGACTGAGATTGGGAAGTGTCTGTCCAGCATTACCCTTTGTCTGTGTGTGTGTGTTAGTTAAACATAATGGGAAATGCAAGTGAATGCCAAGTCTGACCCTTTCTTTGGAAGGTAGCTCCTTTGGGTGGGACATTGCTGTAACAGTATTTAGAGCAGCAAATTATATCACAACATCCCTGTAGTATTTGGCCAACTGGTTGGGACAGATAATGCCAACAATATTCCAAGTTTACTTTTACTGGTTGGGACCCAAAGTTGAAGTTATTGGACATTAATTGGACACATTAATTGAACACATCCAACAGTTACACTGAAGTAAACATTTTGAGTGTGTTCAACAATTTTTTTCATTTTTTCATTTGTGAAACTGGTAACCTTTGATTTAGCAGTGTCCTATTGTGAGTTCCAAGTAAAAAGAACTGTCCATGATAGATTTACTGCCACTTGAATGATAAGAGGTTATGACGTTTGATGACATTTTAGTAGACAGAAAGCCAGCTGGAAAGCAGAGCTTCCTAGCATTCTAAGCAGTTTGCTGGTTCCTGTTCCCTGGGTCTTATTTTGCATCAGTTATCTTAAAATGAAGTTAATTTTGGGTTGTTACAAGTTATCCCCAAGGTAAAGTTAGGCTTGGATGTGTTTTACTTATATATTTTCTGTACACCATGATAGTGTTTTGCAGTTTACCAATCCAGCGTATATTACCATTATCTTAAGGCGGTGGTCCCGGAGAACCCCTTGCTCTGCACATTTTTGTGCAGTGGTCTCTGACTCTGGTCCTGGAGAGCTACTTTCCTGTATAGTTTAGTTCCAACCTGTATTCAGCAAGCTGTCCCACCCCTTACATAACTCTAATACGTCTGATTCAGCCAATCAGGGACTTGGGAAGAGGGTGATTAGCTGGAGCAGTTGTAGCACATTGTAGTTAGAACTGGACTCTGCAGAAGGGTAGCTCTCCAGAACCAGGGCTGGAGACCAACACACCTGATCCAAATAATCAGCTCATTAATAAGCCCTTCATGACTTGAAGTGGGTGTGTTGGGGGCTGAGAAAAGACTAAAATGGGCAGGGAAGGGGTACTCTAAGACCAGGGTTGCAAACCTGTGTCATAAGGTATAAGGTATACAATTGGCTGTGCCCAACCTATGATCAGAGTATTGAGTAGACAACATATAATCCTCTGAAATGGATGATTCTAGACCTATCACATTTGTTGCACGATTGCCTGATTGCAATTATTTGAGCTTACCACAATTATTTTCCACAGTCTTTTGCTTTCACAATAATTTGTTTACATCACAACATTTGTGTCAGTTAGTTTGAGGCAAAAACGTGCAGATAAAAGAAATCAAAAAAACATTTACTAAATCATGTTAGGAAAACAACACAAGGTTTAACTTCTGACTAATGCTACTACTCCTTTGGAGGGCAGCAGTGAGTGATATTTGTTTATTTCAGCTTAAGCCGTTTCTGTCGTCAATCAAAAGTCACTAAGCATGGACAGCTAGGAAGTAAGATAGTTAGTTAATCAGTTTGGCCACTTTAGGCTTTTACTTTAATAGTTGAATACTTAGTTCTTAGACTGTCTTTGATACCAGTGTGGTGCTATCATTGGCGGAATGTTTTTAACAAAGCCCAGCAGTTAATGTGCATAAATGTTTTGTGTCATATTTCCATTCATAACATTGTGGTACTTATTTGGTACTGGTAATTCATTTAAGGCATTCATTTGCTACAAAATATTTAAATAGTGTAATTTTGATTTCTAATTAGATTAAAAGTTCAATTACATTGAGTGAAAGGATTTTTTTACAGTGCATCATCTGAAAATATTTGTCACTTTTTCAATAATTTAAGTATTATGTCTTTAACCTCTTCAACTCCTTGAGACCACCGGTAGTTCCAAAACGCACTTCGTCATATTCTTCATGACTTTCATATTTCATAAGCTACATTCAAAAGGTGGGTGTCGTATGAGAGCTGTAACTGTCTTCTTTCCAGTCAAATAGATGGGTAATGTAATTTTAAACCCTTATAATAGAAAAAGCTGAACTCTAAACTATAAACAGATGGTGTCTCTTCAGTGATCTGCTCTGTAAAAATTATTTTTATAAAATAATACAAAGAGCATCTAACATTTTTGGCTTTCAGCAGTAAATTGTAAGCATATAGCAATATGTATATGACATAAAACACATGTTCTGTTAATTTGAGGGGAGCTTTTACAAAAAATAAAATAAATAAATAAAATAAAAATGTACATTTATTTCATGCAGTTACTGAATAATTTGCCTTATGATTTGGTTATATAAATTCAGATGGAAAAAACAAAATAAACCCTGGAGAATTTGTGTCATTGACCCTAAACCTGTTCTACAAACATCTTACCTTTGATTTTGTGAACATAGCTTTAATTATTCTATGTTTTGCTAACTTCAGGTTTACATTGTAACAATGTTCCAAACTTACTTTTACAGCCTTTTAAAGTTATCCATGTCTATTTTTGCGCTCACATGCTCGCACACTTCCTTCTCTTTCTTAGCTTGTCCTTCACACACCAATATTTTTTCTTTGGTGATGTTATGCCGCTGGAATGGTTGAATCAGTCTGAATCATACCGTGTTTGAGCTCGGCAGGAGCTTTAAAGCTTCACCACTTCAACACTCAGGCCTCAGGCTCTGCTATATTACAATCTTTTCTCTGCCATACCCTTTTATTTTGTTCTCTCCTATCTTCTTATCTCTGGAAGAGTCGAACATGTTCAGAATGTGATAGGGAATGTACTATAATAACATATTCCTTGTCTTGCTTCTCTTTCCTGCTCCTAGCATTGCCCCAAGACTGTCTCTACTTTTCTTATACTCTCTTCCTCTTTGTAAGCATTGCCTTTTTCTCTCATCCTCGTCATCCAGAGTCTGACGGGCCCTGTCTGTACTCCTACAGGTAGCAGGACGAAAAGGCTTTCCCCATGTCATATATGCTCGACTGTGGCGCTGGCCAGACCTCCACAAAAACGAGCTCAAACATGTCAAGTTCTGCCAGTACGCCTTCGATCTCAAGTATGACAACGTGTGTGTCAACCCCTACCACTACGAACGGGTGGTGTCTCCCGGCATCGGTATGTGTGCAGCTCTCATTAAAGAGTAAAGAAAATAGGAGTGTTAGACCAAAAGAATAGCAGACGTGTAACTCATGGCTAGGCCTAAGTGGAATCTGTGGAATCTTGAACTCTTAATAAATAAATTACGTTTTTATTTGTTTATAACATTCTGAAGAGTGTTTTTATACAACTGTGCGCTGTAGACTCACACAAGAAGTCTAAAAAAGATTCACAGAATTCACTACAATTTGCCAAAGGAAATAATTCTTAGAGGAGAAGACAATTTCAGCAGATTCTCATGATCAGAATACAGTACTCTGTTAGTGTCAGCATTGTAATTTGTTACATTGTAATTAGTTTTTATTCACAAAATTGCCTAATAAGCTTTCTGCAGCTCACTGCAGCTCTTTGGTGTTTCTGTCTCTGCTCTTTTTCCATGCAGTTGGACTGAGTTTGCAGACCACAGGTGAGAGGCTCAGGATCGTATTTGTTGTCACTGTCTGTTTGCTGTTGCCATATCTGAATGTTGTTGGAGGTCAGGGGGTGGGGCTTGTTTTCAGGTATTCCTTTACCTGCTTATCACTACACTTGATTGTATGTTACTGTCAGCCTGCTCGTGCTCAAAGTATGAAAACATCTCTAAATGTGTCAGAGGTAGACTCAGTGGAGCTTGTCTCATCTGAAGCACTAAAGGAGGATGCCTATACTTGTGTATTTAAAGATAAAAAACAACAGGTTTGGCCATTTTTTTCCGAATCAGTCTGTTCAATATATCTATGTATATTTGCATTGAAGTGAATTTGACTTAATAGGCAGTACTGAAATGTAATTATACCAGAAAATATAAAAAAGTTCTGGTAATGTCCTTAACAGCTTGAAATAAAATCCCTAAAAGACCCTAGTTCATGCCAAGCTGAAGATTCTCATGCTGTTTTTTGTACTAGCTTCCCTCTCCCTGCCCTCGTCGGGCAGGCCAATAAAGGAAGAGTATATTCATGACTGTATTCAGATGGAAGGGCCATCCAGGTTGCCCTCCCAGCAGGACCATCGTGCCCCAGACCACTACAGCCAACAACTGCCCCCCCTCCAGCTGCCTCCAGAGCCCCATCACCACTCCCCTCCCTCAGTAACCCTTTACCCCAGCCTGCCCCTCTCCCCACCTGGTGAGTCTCACTGTCTTAAAACCAAGAAAACAATGAATTAAATCTCTGGTAATTATTCTCAATAAATTTTGTAATTTAAAATATTAAATTAAGGCTTATTTTTCTCATAAACAGCAAGGGATATTTGTCGTTAAAAGAATATTACATGAAGATTTTCAAATATCTGGGCTTGCATTCTTAAAAGTGTCTTGCACAGGTAAAAAGATCAACATCTAAAATAATTCTACCACTGATTAACTCTTAATATTCAAGTCTGATCTTTTCAATTTCAATTTAGACCACTTTTGTTTACATTTCATCAAAAATTTAAAATCACAACCTTATCTACAATTTGTGAATCCAATCAGATAAACATGAAAAGCAAATCTGACCTGGATATCGGATCTCAAGATCAGATAGTCTCATGTCTAGGCATATCTTTAGATTAGACATGGTCTGATAGGATAGAATCAGCATTTTATTAAAGCCTATTTCTTGTTATTATATTATCTTATTGTGAATGGAACATTACAGTTTACTATTTATCATTTAATAACGTTTGTTGTTCCCCAAATACTTGAAATGGTGAATAACATATTTAAAGTATCTTCATATGTTGGTTTTATAATATTTAAATGTATGTAGTATAAGCTGTATATAAAGTAATGAAAAAGATTAAGATGACAGCTGATTTCAAATCTTTGGACAGTAGTGTATATTCAGACGTCATCTAAAGAGGTTGCTTATTCTACTGTTTATTCTAATGTCGGTCTGTTCGTCTATGTACAGCGAGCAGTTCCAGATTGTCCCTGCAGGGGAGCCGTACTGAAGGCCTGCTGCAGATAGCCTCTCCTCCAAGCAGGGCTTTGGCTTCCAGCTCTCCCCCGACTACCCCCACTGCCACACACCCACCAACACACACAACCACACACACGCAGGCTTCCGGCCAACAACCCGCTGACAGCCAGAGTGACTACAGCACCCCCAAACACACACAGACACAGACCTCCTACCACAGTGAGTACTGCTAACAGAGTCACATTTAAAAATCATAATGAGTTTGATTATATGGGCATATATAAGGGGACCTGAAGCTCAATCATAAAGCTTACAGTGAGATCCACACAAACAGATTACATAAACGCAAATAATTGTAAATAAACTGAAAGGCACAATTGTGTTGATGTAAAATGTAATGATGTACTACAGTGGTTCTCAAACCGGTCCTCAGGGACCCCCACGGTACCCATTTTTGCTCTATACCTATGTGTTACGAGTTACTAGAGCAAAAATCTGTACTGTCTGGGGGGCCCAGAAGAGAGGTTTGACCACTGATGTACACAGCTGAATTATGAAAATAAATGAAAAGTAAAATAAAATAAATTCAAACTCAATTTTTCACTTTTTTCAGTGTACAGAGCTGTGCATGTCAGAGTCCACCCTTCATTTATTTCCAGTCAAAATAGCCAAGCACCAATAACTAAATATGATATCAATTTTTTTTTGTATTGTGTGTTTACCCTTTGTCTTTATTACTTCCTGCGTCTGTTCTTTTCAGGAGACTTGGTTTCGGCTTCAGGACATGAAATAAATAAAAGGTGGCTTCTGACTTTTGCACAGTGCTGTACATATGAGCCCTGATTTTCAATAAATGCTCAGTAAGTGCTTATAGGACACTGTAAGTTCAGCAAACCTGTTTTTGACACACTAATACATTCTTCAAAACCTCAGCTACAACTTGGACAGGAACGAGTACTGCCTCCTACACACCTGTGGGATCCCAACAAAATGGGAGAAGTCAACAGCAAGCCCCTCCCCACCACACTGGTCATTTCTGTAAGTTGGTTGATTGTTTATTCTCTGTATTAATGCATTGTTGGGATTGAGCATGTTGAGCAGTTCATTTGTTGATGGTGGTTTGCATTTTAAAGTAATTTCACTGATCTTTTGAACTTAAAGGAATCCTTCATCATTTTTCAACCTTATTCGTATACGCCACATCTGTATCATGCAGTTGACCAACTCAGGCATCTTTTTGATGTGTTTCCCTGTACTTAGTAAAAGAACAGAAAACCCACTGACTCCAAACAAACTTATAGTAGAAATGGGAAGATGTTTCAGCATTTCTAAATCATAATTTTTCAAATTATTTTAATAAGTATTGGTAAATGTGTCTACTCTAAATTAGTCCTTTAATCAAACCTCATCTAATCTTCTGTGTAATATTTCTCACTAGGGTCTCAACATCACACTCCAGCCTCATACCCACAGCCAGTCTCCAACCATCCAGGTTCATTCATCACTACATACACAAACACAAACAGTCATATATAAACTACTTTTTTTACTTAAAATATTTTTTCCACTTGTTCTCCAGGTCCAGAGTTCTGGTGCTCCATCTCGTACTTTGAGATGGATATCCAGGTGGGAGAGATGTTTAAGGTGCTGGCTAACTGCCCTATGGTAACTGTGGACGGGTACGTGGACCCATCAGGAGGAGATCGCTTCTGTCTGGGGCAACTCAGTAATGTGCATCGCACAGACGCCAGTGAGAGAGCACGGTGAGAGTGTGTTTTTTACTGTACGGATGAGATGGTATGAACATTTTATATCATGATATCAGTGACCAAAAGTACCAGTTCACTAATACACAACCATATCACCACAGATATTACATTAATAAACTTTTTTAGTATCTTTACAGCTCCAAAAACTATGAAACCTTTCAAAAAGGTTCTGTATATAACCATCTATAGCACATTCTCCATCAGTCTGAAGAACCGTTTCATGATGCAAACTCTTTAATGATGCAAAAGGTTCTTTGAGTGTTCAGTGTTCTATATAGAAACATTTTCTTTACGAAAGAACCATGTTTTTTCAGAATATACATGATTATTGGAAATATTACAATTTGAATGTGGTTATTATTGAGTTTTATACTGCCATATATAATTAAAACCAGTAACCATCCCAGGCACACTTTATTTTAATCCCAGAATTACAAATTTCACTCGTTGATGGCTCAGCAGACTTAATGGTAATCCTGCAATTCTGTAGTAGAAATAGCATTAGACGTAAAGGAGACATGAGACACAGGAGAGATACAGGAGAGATGAGAGTTCAGTTCCGGAGTGCTAGTATCTTGGCAAATTTGAGCACAATTAACTAATAGGAGGATACACGTGTGAGATTACTGGGCTCTTTCGCTCTGTTTGTTATTCCATCTGATCTCATTATTATCTTAGCAGAAACTAGAGAGATATTAAGGATATCTTTTTTTTTAATGGGATGGTTCCCTCTGCTTACTGAAAAATGCTGAAATCTAGTGAAGCTCAGCTGATTATCAACACAGTTGCTGTTAGGATTAGGTGTAGAACCAGGTTTAGGATTAGTGTAAGGTTTAGATTTTTGAGGTGAGGTGAAAGGGGAATTCCATTGATTTTTCGCAGTTTCTGCATAGTTCAACCATTAAAATGTAAACAAATTTATTAAGAGTGGTTTGATGCGAAATGCAGCATTGTGGAGAAAGTGACTCAGATTTATATACAGTGGTGGTCGCAATGTCTACGATACAAATGCAGCTATTTTTATGTACTATTCAAACTCACCTAAAAGTTATTTCTGAGGTTTTATATATCATTTTGATAATGGTAAAATAGCTATAAAAATGAAAACAATTACATTTTCTTTGGGAACTATTTTGACTTACAGTGCCTTTCATGTACCTCTCCACCTGAACCGGGTTAAAAAATGTGTTTTAGGCCAAAACGTTTTTCAAAACTATCATAAGGCTTCAGGCAGCATATTCATAACCATTTCATGTAATAACTGTCTGTGAGGCCACTTTTAGAGTCAGTAAACTGATCAGAGGTCTTATCCCTATCACCAATAGTCAGGAATATTTCTGACATGTAAGTTTCTGTAGAATAATGCAATTCACATCAAATCACTCTGAATGACATTGTTCACATCTAAATGATTTGATTATGCGGGAATTTTGAAAAATTGGTGGAATTCTCCTTTAAGGTTAAGGTTAGAGTGAGGTTTAGCATTAGAGTTGAATAGCTGAATGCCAGTAAAAGGTAAATATCTACAATCGACAGTGTTCTCATAGCCTGCGCTGAGTGTACTACTGCTCATTATGCTATTCCAGTGTGTACTGTGTCTTTCTTCTGTCCCAGGCTCCACATTGGTAAGGGCGTGCAGCTGGAGTGCCGTGGAGAGGGGGACGTGTGGATGCGCTGCCTGAGCGACCACGCTGTCTTTGTGCAGAGCTACTACCTGGACAGGGAGGCAGGGAGAGCGCCAGGAGATGCTGTGCACAAGATCTACCCAGGAGCCTACATAAAGGTGAAATATTGCATCATTATATATGGATTGCGCCAAAAGTGTCTTAATGTCAGACAGACACAGTAAGTCTGCACCAGTTAGTCTTTGAAAGGGTTTGTTGTGCATTCCATGAAGAATGCATGTTATAAGATTCTTCTGACTCATAGGACCATTTTCATAGAGTGTTGGAATTGTGGCTTACAGTACAGCCCGATACACAAAAGCAGTTGAAGGTTCAAGGTTACATATTTAACAACTTCCACTCTCTCTTTCTCCTCACTCTCTCTCTCTTTGTAGGTTTTTGACCTCCGACAGTGCCATAGGCAGATGCAGCAGCAGGCAGCGACTGCACAGGCAGCTGCAGCTGCACAGGCTGCAGCGGTGGCAGGGAACATTCCAGGGCCAGGCAGTGTGGGGGGCATTGCTCCTGCTGTTAGTGAGTAACCTTTGACTTCTAACCATCTCTCTTTCTGCCTGTCTCAGTTTGGGCACTATATTCGTACACTATATTCTATGTAATTCTCTCTCTAGAGCCTGGATAGTGGGGTAGTATTGTCTCAAATCAAACACTAATGTTTTGCACTAAACAGAATGACAAATTACTGTGCAGTACCTCATGTCCTTGAATTGCACCTAGGTTAGCATTTAACATAGCTTGTTAGCAAGCTAAACATAGCATGTCCAGTTACCTTTGGATAATTTTTAAATCCTTAGCTGCATAATGCAAAAAAGCACAACAAAAATAATATCACACAAAAATGCAGTTGCAGCAGCCTGTAGCCATGGAATGTACTTTTAGTACATTATCCAGGTGCTTCATTTCCAGTGTGAACACACTGCTTGCACTAAAAGTTGCTAGTGCTACATACATAAGGCAAGGCAAGTTATTTATATAGCAGATCTATTAATATCAGAGGTGATATTTTAACAGAGTGAGCATTCAGCTACATTTCATTTAATACCTTTATAAAATTAGTGTCAGTACAGTAATAGGATCACAACAATAATTTAAATAAAAAAAAATGCTGAGTTGGTTTAAATCAACCTTGTCTTGGCCTTAAAAAGAAGATTTGAGACAGGTCTGTAGTTATTTAATAGAGTTTTATGGCAGCCATTTTTAGAGATTTTGCGGAAAATCCTTGACAGAAGTAAGCCATTAACTTTTTGCTGCAAATCAGTAAAATGCTATTTAGAATTTAAAAAAGTTTTTAAAGTGTCAGATGGCAGTAAATCGAGATAACATGTCGATGATCTTAAGCACGGAAGAGTTTCCTCAAGAGTTTTGTGGTGACATAATAACAAGGTTATTTATAGATGGTTGTAGAGACAGCATAGTTTCATTATTTGACTGTGTGGTGTTGATAGTCAATCTGATAGTTTTGATTTTATCATTGAGAAGACCTGCATATCATTCAGTTTTTCTGTGGAAAGGACTTCTGGGGCTGTCTGTTCTGAGGGGTTTGTTAGCCTGCCAGCCATACCAGATAGAGTGTGGGTGTTGTTGAAGTTCCTCTTAATAAAATGAGACTGTCTAGCTCTGCATAACTAAGTTAAAAGTAGAAAGACTTTGTTTATAGCACTTGATTTGAGACACAGTGTTTCTCTCTGCTGAGTTCAGTCCATTTGTTTTTGAAAAATACCATGTACCAAAGGTTAAGACAAACACTGTTGCAGTGTATAACAGTTGTGACCCATGCACATGTGTGCATTTTCTGATATAACAAGAGCGCATATATATTTTCTCAATTTTTTTTCTTTCAGTAGTAATTAGGACTGCAGTGAGCTGCACTGGCTAGAGGCTACACTGATTAGTGGACAAGGTTGATTATTGAAGAAGGCAACATAGTGTTTACAAATGCTCTGTAATGTTAATAAGATGCACGCAGTCATACTGACAGATTACAATACAGGAAGTGTTGAGGGCCATATGGCTTCTTAATTGAATATAAGGACAAAATAAATAAAAGGACAAAATGTAGTAAAATACAAAGAGAGAAAAGAAAAAATGACTGACAAATAAAAAGAGAGCAAAACTTAACTTTAACATTTAATATAATATAATATGAAATGCACTTTTAATAAGACCTTTTATATGAATTTTTTTTCATGATACACATTGTTGGGAGTGGGCTTTACACATACAAGAAATATCTATACTATATTATGATTAATACCACCTTTATTAAAGTAATAACAATGTATTTTTCCTTTATACGTAAGCCACTACTCCTTTCAAAAAATTTTGGAATGAAGCTCTTCAATTGTAATTTGCAGTCCTGGTGGTAATTCACTGTGATACTCACCTGTGCTTCTCCTAAGGTTTCTCTGCGGCGGCAGGTATAGGTGTGGATGACCTGCGGCGTCTGTGTATACTGCGTTTGAGCTTCGTGAAGGGCTGGGGTCCTGACTACCCACGCCAAAGCATCAAACAGACGCCCTGCTGGGTGGAGGTGCATCTCCACCGTGCCCTGCAGCTGCTTGACGAGGTGCTGCACACCATGCCCTTCGCTGATCCTGGCCCTGCTAACTGACCTGCGAACAGAGATTACAAAGAAAGACTTCAGCAGTATTACAGCAGCTCTTGTGCACCACAGCAGCCCTCAGACCAAGAATAGGGAGAGAGAGACAGAGGGAGAGAGAGACGGTGATACGCTACATAGCTTCTCTCGCATACACAGCACGCCCGCATGAGCAGACAGTGACTCATGGAAGCAGGCAAGAAACACACGCGAGCTTTCCACTGCCACGGCCAGCAGACTGAGCAGACCTCCACGCTGACCTGTGTTTAGTCCGCGGAGCTGTTGACCACATTACCATGGAAATACAGACCAGAGAGAGAAAGATGTTTTCAAAGCCCAGGTAAATATGAGACCTTGAAAGTGAAGTGTTCAGCAGTCTTGATAGAGAGGCTTGTGAGACACCACTGAAACCTGTGGGCCGTCCTGACTGGAACCGATGACTCATGGTATTCTAGGCTGAGGAGATGATTCTAAATGCTGAGTCTTGCTGTAAAGCAGTGATGTCACAGAGCTTAATATGGGGACTGATAAGAGATAAACAATCTTCATGCTGATCTTTGTTATTTTGGAAAAGCAGGGTTACTGCTACAGTGCCTTTTTGTAACCATCAGACAGTATTTTATTGTAGAAATAGTGGGTTTTGGTGAAACCAAAGCACCAATTCATATCAAGTGATAACCATGCTATATTTAACAGTTTATTGTACCAAAGAAGGGATTGTATTGTTTTCCTTTATTGCTGTACCATAAGACAAGGATTGAATATCGTTTAAAATTGTTGGATATCGATACATTGACTCTGATACTGATTCCTGAACAGTACTTTTTTATATTGTTGCTGTCCAAAAAAAACAAGTATCTCCAAAATGGTAACTTCGCAGGAGAGGGCAAAAACGCCCTTAACTTTTAATGTATGTTAATGTAAAGTTATTTTATTCTAACTGATTTTGGAGCATTTCAATTGATGTAATCATCATGACATTTTCACACAATGTAAAGGAGAACTGCCATGTTCAAATGACGTAGAAAAATAACAATCACCAATATATCACCAAAGATACATGTTTTTCTTTGGACAGCGACAATATCTTCCTTCAAATTACCTTCTTTTGTTTGTGATTTAAACCAGACATGAGTATGAGCTGCTGGAAGTGGGTATATTTACTGACCACAACTGATTGCAAACTAATCAAGAAAAACTGCTGCTGATAACATGCAAACAGAATGTAATTCAGACAACCAATCATGAATGGAACAACATTCACTGACAGATTTCTTATGTATTGAAATTTGGTATTGAATGAAATTTTTCAGTTCTCTGTAGTATTGAAGCAATTCAGTCAGTACCATCAAAGTATTGAATTTCAGTATCTAACTACTCTACACAGATGCCCTTTAAAGGGCTCATATTCTACTCTTTTTGTTATTTATTTTTCTCCCTGACGTCCACTTGTTTGTGTAATTTCTTTGTACCTAAATGGTCAATTCTCTAAATTTTCTAAACTCTCTTTGTTGCGCTGTGCCTTTAAGACACATGTATGTAAATTATCTCTGCTCTGATTGGCTGTCCTGTATTGTGCCTTATTAAGAAAGCAGTCCAGGCTGAAACACTGCTTAAAACTTCAACATGAATGGGAGGGGCTAAACAGCTCTTGGCTGAATAGGTGGATATGTGTAAATGAGATGGTTTTCGTGACATCACAGAATCACCGGATTTAAAACAGGCTGTTTTGCCACACATTTCCATATATTGACCATATGGAGTAAAGTGAATGATTAATGATTCCATTTTATAGGTGTGTTAAATTTGCAATAGTATACCTTAAATTCAACTTCTCTGGAGTGAACAGAACAAGGCAACGATGAAAAAGCAAAGCACAAGTTGATGATCTTATTTATGATGTCAGATTGCACATTTTCAGTGTTTCATAATGCCACTCTTTCTCCGTCATATATCCTTGTCTATTGTGAGAGATGTTTGAGGTGTTTATTTCTCCTCTGCTCTTACATGCTATTGTGCCTTATCACCAGTGAGTGCACTGTATGCAATTTTTATATAAATCTATTCAGATTGATTATTTAGAGAGCCCAGCTTTGTTTTACATCCAGCCTGATCCAGCATACATACACTCATCACTGACTAGAGGTGTATTAAGTTTCAGATCATAAGAAGAGAACTGCTTTTAAAGTTTGTAGAGATGCGGCTGTGAAGCACAGACTCTGTACTGTTTATTAATACATACTTTAAACATATCTAGGCCATTCAGTTTGTCAGACTCAGATTCAGTAAACCAATACAACACATCACCACTATGTCAAAACTGCACTTGTATTTACCCCTTAATAAAGACCTTGTGGTCACTTTTGGTATTACTGTCTAAAACTTTCTCAGTGGTGTGGTGTGCTTCAGGTAGCAAACAGCTCTAGCAAACAGCTTTTATGCAAAAGATGCATTGCAAAGATTTTGTACAGTGTTGGCAATATTTAATTTTCAAAAGATATCCTATTTCAAAGGAAATAGTTAGACAAACATTTTTAAGAAGCTGGCGCTCATGGATTGTCTGGTCATCACCTGCCAGGTTTACAATAGTACAGACACTCTGTAGTCTGCTTGGAAGTGAAAGGTATCATAGCTTCAGTTTAAAGCCACTTTCCCAAGTGTCTCCACCCAAACTTTATAAATGAGGCATTAGTGGTAAAAGTGTAAGGTAGTTGTTTATCTTTGCACACCATTATTGTGTACAGTGTCATGGCCTGAAGCTACTGCAGGACTTAAAGTATACTTTATCAAGCTTTGACATTATTAAAAGGCATAGATCAAAAGCAACAACAACAAAAACCCTTTGGCAAGACAATTTTGTACCTTGTTTACTAATGCACAGTGCTTTGAAAGAGTGTTTAAGAATCAAGTATGTTTTGGCTGTAGACCCCAAAGCTTTCCAAGACAACTGATTAAATAAAATTGGAAAAAGAGAGCATGTGTTGTTTTCTTCCCCTCCCCACTCTGTTTTTACAAGGCCTTGTTATAACTTGTTTAATGATAGACAGTACAGTATACGGTTTTCAAATTCAGATGTGTTTGAGAATCAAATGTTTTGCCTGTAGACCCAGAAGAAAAGCTTTGTAAGACCACTGATTGAAGGAATAGAAAGACCCTCAGTTTAATTTGACAAGGCCTTGCCGTAACTTGTTAAAGTATGATTCAGAAGCAAATATGTTTTGCCTGTAGAGCCAACGCGTTTTCGGAGAAGTGATTAACGGAAACTACAGAAAAGGAAGAGAGGCTTTCTTGTTGTTTTCTGCTCCCCCTCACTCCGCTTTTCAGTGAGAGTGAATAGAGTGGGCGGGGCCTCGCCCGTTGCCGTAGCAGCGGATCTGCGCGTGCGCAGCACCAGCTCCACCAGCAGCAGCATCACCATCACCATCACTGATCAGAGCAGAGAGGAGTGGACCGCAGCGCTCGACCAGCTCCTATAAAAACAGCTGCAGTATGAAATTTAAAAATGTAATCACGAAGTGTCGAGATTTCTCCATTTAGTCCAGAGGAGCTGTCGTTCTGCCGCTGTTCTGCCGTCTTATATTTTCGCTTTTTTCGCAACGCAACGCGCCCCATCCCTCAAAATGGCTGAGATCACTGAGATACGAGCAGCATACGGTGAGTAGGCCTGAGTCTTTACTGTCAGATCACAAACGCCTCATGATCAGGTATATAACGATAATATGATCTTGTCTGGTGTTGTAGTAGCATTCAGTAGGCAGCTTAATGGTCTCTTTCTCCTTGTGGACCACCATCTGCACCAGAGAGGCATTCATTAAAAATAAAGTCAGACGGTTGATAACGGCTCTGTCGTTGCTGTTTTCAGTTCAGTGAACTGTGGGCTACTAAATATGTAAATTAAGTTGCATAATTGTTTGATTAAGCTGGCATCACCCTGTCTTGGCATTTGCGACAGTTCTCGAAGTGAGATGAGCAGTATGAGAAAATGTCTATAGGAGAAACAGGTATGACGTTATTGTTTACTCTCGAAGGTTGCTGTAACGCTAAGCCCATAATATACACCAGAGCTAATAGCGAGATGTCTGGTTGATATGGTGTTTTAGAAGAACACACTGTTCATTATTAGTTCTGTCTTTGTAATTGTGAAGCAACCAGCTTGTCCCCAACGTGGATTTTATGACTGCACATTATAGATGCACTATATTTCTAGAATCACTGATCTGTACAGAAAACCCAGTATAGCTAATTCATTATAATGAGATTAGTCACCTAGCTGCACAAAAGCAGGTGCATAGTGGTGATTTGCTGCTAGCCTACACATGGAAAACTGTATAATAAGGGAGCAAGACCTGTGTCCTTGTCTGACCCGTTCGGATATTGATCCCTCGTTTTAGGGGTCACGTTCTTGTTTATGAACACTGGCAATTGTGAATGTATGACTTTTGGAGATGAAGCCTAGCAAGTCTTTGAACTGATGTGTTCTCTCACCTCATTCTCATTTCTCATGTCGCATCATTTCATGCTTCATTTTGCATCAGGCTGATGAATGAATGTCAGTGTCGTGTCAGAGCTTGCAGGAAGGGACAGGTCAGGCGGGGGGATTATTATGTCTGAAGTGGTTCATTATGTGGTGAGGGAGGGAAAACATCAGCAGTGTGTCCGGATGTGACCAGATGGATCTGCACCAGGAGAATGGTGGATGAAGGCGGTTTGTAGGTCAGACTCCAGCACTGGACTGGGGCAGGACCTGCTCAGAAAGCACTTAGTGAACCGGATTAGTCTGCTAAGCACTTTCAATTTATTTCTCTACCCCTGTTCTAGATTAGGACAGATTTGTGAAAGCTGTTGGTGGATTGTTAATGTAAACATCTGTAATATGGTCAGACAGAGCCGGCCTTTCTTTATGGGCTTAAGTCGATGTCAGCAGTAGGTTTTTCTGATAAACCTTTATTACATGGCTGGTTGTGTATTAAACAGAGTTATAATTCTGCACTTGTGTTGTGGTGATGCTGATGCTGATGCTGTAGCTTCACCCATCATTTCCGTGGGATCTTCTGTGGGATCTAGTGGGATGAAACGTAGGCAGCAGACTGTCTTTGGTGTCATCTGGTGCCAGAAGTAGGATTGAGGAGCTCCGTCTTCCGGAGTCACGCTACTGAAGAGGAGGAACAGAAAAAACAGTGTTTGATCACATGGCGTGGGCCGGAAGCAGAGACGCCAAACCCAAATTTGGACAAAGTCGTGTGCTCAGAGAGCGCACAGGAATACCTGCGTGCTACATCTATAAAAATCTTCACAATCTGTTTGATTCATATCCGTTCCAAGTAATGGAGTAATTTTAGATGCATTTCCTTCAGTGGTGGCCTACCCCAGGGAATCTTCTGAGCCAGCATCCTAGCAGAACGGCAAAATGTGTTTCTTTGATGTACAGCCACACCTGCTGAATCTGATGTCAAACTGATTCTCAATAGAACACTTAGCCAGTAAATCACAAAAGGCTCAGAGAATTTAAGGATTTGAATAAAGTTGTTGATCTTTGACTGGTTGTGAAGCTCAGTGCTTTCTAAGTACATCTGAGTGTTTCTTAGCAGGCTTCTAAACTCCCTAAAAGGAGGGGATCCACCCTTATCTGGTCCACACTGGTTAGCAAAATAGTAATAGTACAAGAACAATATAAATAAAGAATGAAGAATTAACAATAAATATACAATAGTGAAATAAAAGAAATTAGTCTGTCATTGGACAGAGATATTTACATTAACGAATAGTACCTGGTGGCAGAAGAAAGAATCATATTAGTAACTGAGTAATCTACCTGCTATTTCAATATAATAGTAATTATTATTTCTGTAATAATTCTCTGTTACAATTGAGTGATTAAGGTTGAGAAATAAGAACAAACAATAAACTTAACACCAACAATTACACTCGTGCAACATCATGGAAATTGTGGGACGATTCAAATATTGGAGTAATAATTGATGCAGGTGCCGATGCTGTTACATAAACACTTGAAATATAGAAATTGGGACTAAATCTACCTGGGTTATCATTGCAGAGAAACAACAGTCATTCTTGTAAGGTTACAAATGTAGTAAAATGAAGAAAGTGCAGATATTTTAGCTCTTTAGCTGAGTATCACCTAAATATTCTCCTCTTATAGAATACAATAAAAACATCATGAAATATGAGTTAGTAATATCAGTCTGCTACCATTGTGCATCCTAATAATAATCCTAACAATTTAAAGCTTTTCAAAGACTCCAAAACACATGTTAATATCTTAATCTCACTCTGCAAGAAGCAAGAGTCACATGTAAAGAAG